GGCTGATGGCTCAGATTTCTTACTGGCTAGCCCTCTCTTAATTATTAACCCATTTCTATTAAATTATGTATTGTCATGAGATTGTGGCTTACCCATAATGCTCCAGCATGTTATTCCTGTGGTGGTTACATTGCATATCTCTCTCTCTCTCTCTCTCTCTCTCTCTCTCTCTCTCTCTCTCTCTCTCTCTCAGCTTCATCCTCTGTCTCTCTTTTCCCAGTCTTCTAACTGGCTACTGGCCAATCAGCATTTATTCACCAACCAATAAGAGAAACATATATTCACAGCATACAGAAGGACATCCCCCATCACAACTACATATAATAGTTCCTCCATCCAATTATTTTGTGCCTAGTTTTGCTTGTCTGTGTTTCTTGTCATGTTTCAACTCCTGTGACATGGAGGTCACCTGACCTTGCTTTCATTTGATAGTTCAGAGCTTTGTGACTTTGCAAAGCCCATGCTGTAGTCAGAGTTTATTTTCCACCTGGTCTAGCCATTTAATTCCAAAAAAAACACACTGACACTTATAGTAATTATAAACTGCATGGCCGATGGCTCAGGCTTTTTATTGGCTAGCTCTCTGTTAATTATTAACCCATATCCATTAATCTATGTATTTCCACATGGTCTCGCACTTACTGGTGATGCCTGGTCCCTTTTCTTCCTTGGCAGCTACATAATATCTCTCCGGCGGCCCCTCTCTGCCTTCCTCTACCCAGCGTTCTCCTAGTCTGGTAGCCCCACCTATACTTCCTGCCTGGTTACTGGCCAATCAGCATTTTATTTAACCAATAACAGAAACATCTATTCACAGCATACAGAAAGGAGGACATTCCCCATCATGTACCTTGCTCTTTCTGTCTCAGGCAGAAGCTTCTGGGGCATTGCTGACTTCTGCTTTCTCTTCTGAGAGCCCACCTGGATCCAAAAGGTGCTGGAGTGAGAATACCGGGGAACATGGGAACAAAATGAGGTTCTATTTCCTCTGAATACCCAGCAGATAGTGCAGTCACTGGCTCGTGGTGGGCATTTAAGAAACTTTCTGGCTGCTTCTTCAGTGGGAAACAACAAAATAGTGGATGACACTGTGTAGCAGGAGGCCCCAGAGGATGAGGTGGCCTAGGATTAGGAGGCCAGCAACTGCCTTAGGGGCCATGATCTTGGTCAAGGCCAGGGGGCTCCTGGAGGTAAAGCCAAAGAAAAGAGTGGATCTCTGTCACCAAGTTGGGCTGCCTGGTCAAGGACATGAAAATCAAGTCCCCAGAAATCTGCTTGTTCCCTCTGCCTACTAGGGAATCTGAGATTATTAACTTTTTCCTGGGCACAACCCTAAAGGATGAGATTCTGAAGATCATGCCCGTGCAGAAACAGTGGACCAGATTCAAAGCTTTTGACGCTATCAGGGACTATAATGGTCATGTTGATCTTGGGGTTAAGTGGTCCAAGTAGCCACTGCCATCCAAGGGCCCATTATCTTGGCCAAGCTTTCCATTGTGCCTGTGTGGATAGGCTATTGGAACAAGATTGGCAAGCCCCAAACTGTTCCATGCAAGGTGACATCCACTGTGTGTGTTGGTTCATCTCATCCTTGTCCCCAGAGGCACTGGCATTGCTTCTGCTCCTGTGCCCAAGAAGCTACTGATGATGGCTGGTATTGATGACTGCTGCACATCAGCCAGGGCCTGTACTTCCACCCTGTGCAACTTTGCCTAGTCCTCCTTTGATGCCTCTCCAAGACCTACAGCTACCCGGCCCCCGACCTCTGGAAAGAGACTGTGCTCACCTAGTCTCCATCAGGAATTCACTGACCATCTTGTGAAAACCCTCAACGGAGTCTCTGTTCAGAGGGCCCAGGCTCCAGCTGTAGCCACCACATAAAGGTTTTTATACAAGAAAAATAAAGTGAATTAAGTCTGTTAAGAGAGAGAGAGAGAGAGAGAGAGAGAGAGAGAGAGAGAGAGAGATTTTTCTGAGACAGATCCCAGATGCATTTCTCTGCATTCTCATGGTGGCTCACATTGTCTATAACTCCAGTTCTAGGGGATCCGACATCCTCTGATGGCCTCTACTGGCACCAGGCATACAAGTGGTTCACAGACCACAGGCAGAAAAACACTCACACACATAAAATATTAGGAAAGGAGGCATTCTGAGAGAAAATGGACTGGATCTATAAAGCCTAGATGAAGTGTCTTAGAGAAAAGTCTTTTCCCCCCGCCCCCCTCTTTTCCTTTCTTCCTTCTCCCTCCCTGCATTGGAATTTGACTTTAAAACAGACACATAGTTCCTATCTAAAGGTGAAAGCAATTATAGCACAGGTGGAGGAGGGAGTGCTGGGCTTAACAGGGGCTAAACCTCAAGTTGGGTGTGTGTGGGGTGGAGTAAGTATAAGGTTGTTGGGAAGCTGAGTGGCTTCAGGGTGTGAGGTAGGTAGGACAGACTGTAAGGGAAAAGCAAGCAAAGGGGAGAGAAAAGTACTTCCTGATGCAGAGGTTCAGGGTCCAGGGGAATGCGCATGCTTATGGAGCTGGAGAAACTGAACAGCTCCAAGGGCATGGCGCAATGAGGGAGTGGTAAGAGAGGAGACCTAAGAAAGAGGGGCAGTGGTGTGTGTGTGTGTGTGTGTGTGTGTGTGTGTGTGTGTGGGTGTGTGTGTGTTCATTGTATTGGAAGGCATGGGAAGAGTGATTGGAGAGTGTGCAAGTAGAGTTATGGAGTCATATTTTTGGTAGGAGGTCACCCCATTTGCAAAGTAGAGTGGGAAGAGTTGGAGCAATGAGGGCCTGGTGCATTTAGTGTGGTGGTAGGGTGCAGTCCTCACAGTATGGGGACAAGGGAGGCTCATACTTTCAAACAACTAGAACCCAAACCACAGAAGCATACAGTGATGCCATTGTATTTCATCTCACCACTGTCTCTTGCTCAGGCCTCAGCTGGACAGGTGCTGTGTGGCTGTGAGGAGAGATCTAAAGGAGCTCAAGCCAAAACTGCCCCCTCTGTGAGCAGCGTCAGCAGAAAAAGGGAGACTCAGGGTGACCAAGGCAAAAACAGCAGGGACAGACTGATGGGCATTCCTGGGTGTTGCTAAGACAAGCTGCCCCTGGAATAAGTGTTCAGCAAATATTTGAATCAGTTCTAGGCCTTCCCACCCTGTAATTTTTTTTTCAGAAACTTGGAGCAAGGAAATTTGCAACTTTCAAAAGCAAATTCAAAATTATAATTTTTATCGTCAAAAGGTGAGCATGTAAAAAAAAAACAATCACAAAGCAAAACAAAACAAAAAGCTAAAACAATGTCTCATACTGTGAGCAAAAGCAAGTCAAGTAGAAGACACTATCTGTGGGGTGTGCAAATGTTGTTTATATCTGACAGCCACTCATAGGAGACTGAGATGAAACTCAAGGATACCGTGAGGGTAAGGTAATGGGGCAGAGGTATGTATGCTGTGTGTGTGTGGTGTGTGTGTGTGTGTGTGTGTGTGTGTGTGTGTGTGTGTGTGTGTGGGTGTGTGTGTGGTGTGCCAGCAGGAGATGTCCACTTCAACTCTCACTGGCCTGAGACTCAACAATTAGGCGAGCCTCTCCTTCCAGCCCCAAGGACCCACCTTCCTCTACCTCTCCAGCATGAAATTGCAAGCCTGTGTCATTGTGCCCTGCTTTTTGACTCAGGTTCTGTGCATCAAACTCAAATAGACTCTCATGCTTATATCTGAATTGATACTCCCAAGTTTGTGTGGTAATCACTGTGACCTCTAAACCATCTCCCCAGCCTGCTTTTGCTTTTCATTCTTTCTGACCGCTCTAGTACATCATTCTCTGCTCAGAAATATGATGGAAAGATCCAAGTTTTCAACAATTTTTTTATTGGTTTTGTTTGATTTTTCTTTTTGAGATTGGTCTTGCTTTGTAGCCCAGGCTGGTCTCAAATTCTTAATTCTCCTGGTCCCTTCTCTCTAGAGTCACCCTGTTTGGCTCATTAACCTAATTTATAATATTCTTTCCAAACATCGGGTTATAATATAATCCATTAGTGCTTCTGAGAAAACATTTAAGTCAGCGGCTAGTTGTCACTTTTTAAGTTTAATTAATTCATTAGTTTTTAGACAGGGTCTCAAGCCCACCCTGCCTTTGGACTCCTGCTCCCCCTACTTCTACTCCTCTCTGTGCAGATCACCACACCTACTTTATACAGTGCCTGGAATGGGACCCAGGGCTTCTACATACTAGGCAAGCACTCCACCCACTAAGCAACACCCCAGCCCGTTTCCTTTGGTCTGTATACCATCAGCCTTCTCAAGTTCTTCCCACTTGCCTCTCCCTCCTGGAGAAAGTCGCCCTAGCTTGGGCTGCTTCCCTCCTGCTTCAGTTCAGATGTCATCTTTTCCTAAAGTCCTGTAGGAGTCACGCAGTGGGTTCACGTTGGGTTTTCAGTGATCCCCCTAACAGGATACCTTTGAATTAACAGCAAGCTGTACTCACCACACAGAGCCCCTGCTCTTGTTTGCTATCACTATACTAATTCCAGGTAGAGGTGTGCGGGGCATACAAGCAGTGGGAGGAATAAAGGATGTTTGCAGTCTCTTTCCGTGCTGAATTTCAGTTTGATGTCTAACCCAAGCAAGGAAACCACAGCAGGGCTGTGTTGTCAGCCTAGGAACTTCCTTTAACGGGGATTTATTTGTTTGTTTGTATTTATTTATTTGATGCAGGGTCTTACGGAGCCCTGTTGAACTTTGAATGATGTATCCCCTTGCCTCTACCACCGTGACTGCCTTTTACCGGGTTTCTTTTCTTGTTTTTGTTTTCGGGACAGGGTTTCTTTGTGTAACAGTACTGGCTCTCCAGGAACTAACTCTATAGGCCAGGCTGACGTCGAACTCACAGAGATCATCCTGCCTCTGCTACCCGAGTGCTGGGATTAAAAGCGTTTTCACCACCGCCCAGGGTCTGATGCGGAAGGGCAGGCACAGGCTCCGGAGAGCATTGCTGTGAGGGCATCTCCCGCCCCTGTGCATCCCCCGCCCCTGTGCATCCCGGAGGGCCCTGGTGCGAGCCAGCCGTGGCTTCTCAGTCCCAGCCCCGGGGACCGTCCCTTGGTCTAGGCCAGACCAGCGCGGAGGGGTGAGTCTGGCACTCCGCAGCAACGCGGTAGCAGGTGACCAGTCTCCACGCACCGGTGCAGCAGCAGAAAGCCGGGC